AAACGACTGGGTGTAACATAGGCTCAGGGATGCACTGTACAACATGCTGAATTAGCCAATATGTTGTATAACTGTAAATGGAAAGAAACCTTTAAAATTACATAAAGTTAAAAATTAATACTCATAAAGATATTTTTTTTAAAAAATTTGGCATACGTAAAATGACAGGAGATGGCCTATAGTTACTCTCCCTTCCCAACAATATTCTGATGGACTATTAAAAAACCTAACAGCTCTAATGTAATTTTTATTTTATTTTACTTTTTTGTTTTGTTTTGTTTTTTTGGTTTTTTTTTTGCGGTACGTGGGCCTCTCACTGTTGTGGCCTCTCCTGTTGCAGAGCACAGGCTCCGGACGCGCAGGCTCAGCGGCCATGGCTCACGGGCCCAGCTGCTCCGCGGCATGTGGGATCTTCCTGGACCAGGGCACGAACCCGTGTCCCCTGCATCGGCAGGCGGACTCTCAACCACTGCGCCACCAGGGAAGCCCTCTAATGTAATTTTTAAAAAACAGATTCCAAATCCGATTTTTCTCTCTAAGGGAGACTGATTGTAGAAGTAAGTAGAGCACTGCATTTTCAAGAACACAAGTTTACTGTAACTTCAGCTTAAGAACCAGCATTTGGGGCTTAAAAATACATATTGGCGCAGTGGTTAAGAATCCGCCTGCCAACACAGGGGACACGGGTTTGAGCCCCGGTCCGGGAAGATCCCACATGCCGCGAAGCAACTAAGCCCGTGCGCCGCAACTATTGAGCCTGCGCTCTAGAGCCCACGAGCCACAACTACTGAGCCCGTGTGCCTAGAGCCCGCGCTCCTCAGCAAGAGAAGCCACCGTAATGAGAAGCCCGCGCACTGCAACCAAGAGTAGCCCCCGCTCGCCGCAACTAGAGAAAGCCTGTGCGCACAGCAGCACAGACCCAACGCAGCCATAAATAAATAAGTAAGTAAATGATACATAATAAACAGTGGTAAATATTTCTGAAATTATATCACACACATGACTAATTTCTAGGCCCACTCCTTCCCATCACCCCCACACACATCCCACCTTAAAAACAGTAACAAAACATTACGCCTTGCAGAAACTTCCAAGAGCAGTTCAATAATATTTACCACCCTCAGAGTACAATATAACTTAAAAATAAGTTCAATTTCTCACAAAGAAATTCTGTTTTATTATCCTCTTGTAAAATCCTCAAGTATTATGAGGTTTGCTTCTTCCAGTAGCAGATACAATTATATCTGCACAAAAATTATAAGTAGATAAAAACTGCAAATGATTATTCTAATTTTATATTTACATATAACATTGCTTTATGATTTAAGCTACAATTGCTTTTTCACATCAAGTTTTATCGCTATACTGCAAATAAAACACAAACACAAGTCCAATGAGGATTCTAACACAGAAGCTCACAACCCTGAAAATAGCAAAAAGTACATTTTTTTAAACGTCAGTGCTTTACAATAACTAGCAGTTAAATTACTTCACCAAAAGAAATATATCTAATGACTAAAATCATACGCACTCATCCTTGGGTAATACAATTAATAAATCTTAGCTATTCAGGCAAGTGCTTCAAATACAGAATTGTACTCAATAAACATCACCTAATTTTTAAAAATAACTAGTTTTTAGAACTTGATAAGTAATTTTTAAAACTTAGCTAATACAGGGTATGAAACCAGTAAGAAGCAGTTTCAGAATTCATAAATAATAATTACAAATCAAGGAATTTTCCTAAAAACACTCTGAACCTTAAATCCAATACTGATTTTTTGAATAATCACCTGACTACACATCTACATATCCTTCATTAAAACCTTTTTGCTAAATGCCCCACATAACTATGGTATCTACTGAAGCATCAAAGCTAGAGTCAAATAGGTCATTTAGGCCTTTCCTGGATATCAGATTGTTTAGCCTCAACAAAACTACACCTGTTTTACATACAAACTACATTAAAATGTTATGGTCTGGTCCTTGTTTCCTCAGAATTGTTCTTTGAGAGAACATGTTCTCACTGATTTCACAAAACCATGAACTAACTACATATCAAACCTAAAACTCAAGTAAAACGAAATGTAACTATTTAATGGACATTTTTCTTCTACTTAAAACATGTTACAAGAATGGATAAAGTTATGGGAACTACAGGAAAGTGTGGGGAGGAGTGTTTTCTCTTAAAGATATTTTAAAAAGAAAACCTCCATTTTAAAATATAAAACCAATGGCTCATGAAGACTTCTGAGGGTTTTTTTTTAAAAACAAGTAGACATCTCATCATTATTCCCTAAAACTGCACACACATACCCGGTACTTACCCAAATGCACATGTTCCCCCCACACACACGATAATAAAGGCCCTTTTTCACTTTAACATAAGGCAACAATAAAATCAAAATTCATATTCTTTAAGACGAAAGGCATTTTACTGATGATCCTGATTCAACAATTTTACAGTTAAACAAAATTAATTCCATTCTCAAAAATCCACTGACCTTAAGCTTTTAACAAACATTTTCCACTGCAAAACTTATTGTCAATATTTACATATCCTTAAACTTATACTTAGCTGGAACCACTTCTATTTGCTGTAGTAATATTTCCTAATAAAGGCATGCTCATCCCTATCAGAGCAGAAGGGGCAGCTGCTACTCACCGGGAATCTCTGGGGTCCCACAGCAGGTCTCGGCTGGCTCGGCACTGGCAGCAAGGGCACTGCAAGAAAAACACCTTTCATTACAAACACATCCAAACCCACCAGAAAAGGAGTACAATGTATTAAGCTTAATGAAAAATATACACTATGTGTATAATACATATAATAAGTTTACACTTAAGCTAAGTGCTGAAATATTTTTACAATTCCATAAAGGGAAAGGGGAGAGAACTTCTGCCTTCAGTATACAACAGCACGAGCAGAAGCTTAAATTTCAACAGTGAATTCTCATTTAGAATTAAAATAGTTTTGCAACAAAAGAAGATATTATTCCTCTACAATAAAAAACCTACTTGATTTTTGACATCCATACCCAGGTTATCCAGGCTATCTAATACGAGTTATATTTTCTGACTCCAATCAAATACGAATTTAAACCCAAATCCTCTAGGATCATGAAAGAGAGAGGAGGAGGGAAGGAGGAAGTGAAGCAGGCAGAGAAAGGAAAACACACACACCCAGGATATTGTGACAAAGAATGACCTACTCAAAAACCTGCTATGCCAAGACTACTAGCTGGTCTTAGTTTTGTGTTTAAACAGGCCGAACTCTCATCAACTTACCAGAAGAACAAGGAGCCAAATAATTTTAAAACAGACATTTTATCATAGGGAAGAAGCCAGATGCTAGTTTCACACTGTGGGGCTAAATCAGACATATTTAAGCTATTTAAAACATATGCCTTATAGTGATTTTGATTTTGGGGGTGAAAAAAATGCCCACCCGAGTGGTGACTGCTAGCTACATGGTAGCCTGCTATATCTTCCATTAAAACGTCCTGCCAGGGCTTCCCTGGTGGTGCAGTGGTTGTGAGTCCGCCTGCTGACGCAGGGGACACGGGTTCGTGCCCCAGTCCGGGAAGATCCCACGTGCCACGGAGCGGCTGGGCCCGTGAGCCATGGCCGCTGAGCCTGCGCATCCAGAGCCACAGGAGAGGCCACCAGCAGTGAGAGGCCCGCGTCCCGGAAAAAAAATATGGGCTGACCTGTGGCCCCGTCGCAAATCCGTATGTTAGTCCTAACCGCGAGGACTTCGGAAGGTGACTGTATTTGGAGATGGGCCTTTAAAGAAGTGATTAAGTAAAAGGAGGTCATGGGTGGGCCCTGATCCAACATGACCAATGTCCTCCTAAGAGGACGACGTCCAAATACAGACACACACAAAGGGATAACCATGTATAACTTAGCAAGAATAATATAAGTTCTGGTAAATGAGAAACACAGAAGTGATAAAGCTTAAAAGTCAATCAAAATTACTTTTAAAATAGAGTGCTAAGGGGCTTCCCTGGTGGCGCAGTGGTTGAGAGTCCGCCTGCTGATGCAGGGGGCGCGGGCTCATGCCCCGGTCCGGGAGGATCCCACATGCCGCGGAGCGGCTGGGCCCGTGAGCCACGGCCGCTGAGCCTGCGCGTCCGGAGCCTGTGCTCCGCAACGGGAGAGGCCACAACAGTGAGAGGCTCGCGTACCACAAAAAAATAAATGAATAAAAAGAGTGCTAAGGATGAATTTTTTTTTAGTTATTATGATTACTCAAAGAATTCCGTAACTCAGCTTCTAATTAACATCACACTTCCACAGGTCCAACTGAAAGTGATACAGTGTGAGGGCCTGTGTCAATTGCCTGACCAAAGCCAGAAAGTGAGACGGAGAGAAACTTCCTTTGATAAAATGTAAAAATGGGAGAAGTCCATCCCTCTTGACAATCTAATCTAATGAGTCAAAATTTCAAAGTAACAGTGGGTCACTGTGCAAGACAATATAAAATTTTATACAGCTAGCTAACAGGCACTGGGGTACATGGATTATATACCTGAAGCAAAATATTAGATTGTGAAGTGGAGAAAGAAAAAACTAATGAAGTATCTCTGACCTCAGAAGATTATAATGAAAGTGAGGAAGAAAAAAAACTACATAGTAAACAATATAAAGACAGTGTTTTTAAAATTAACTACCAAATAGAAAATACACAGATCTCCAAGAATATATGTACCACTTATTTTTAAACTTGGGATTTAAACATCAATTCCTATCAAATAATTCCAATATAATGAAAGGGTAAGTATTTTAAGTCTCTCTAAGTTCCGTGGGGAGGGGGGAGGGGGGATGGATGAGAGCAAGAAATCCCATCATAATTAATAGATTTCTTACACAGAAGCCTTCTGATGAGTTGGCAATTTTTTCTTAACCAACTATAAAAAAGCAAGGAAAGAGAAAGGAGAGAAAAAGAACAAAAGATGACAGAAGACAGCATCTGAGAACAGGTGTGATAGGAGCAGATCAGAAATCTAGCCAAACCCAGGGGGGCCGTGGTCAGACTGCCAAGGTGTTTGCAAAGCGTCTTTGCAGGAGTCTCGTAGCCCACGACCTGGTTTGCAAGCAGAACACTTCTACTTACCTGCCTCCTTCTTCACTGTGAACAGGAGAGAATTTAAAACCTGTAATGCTAGGGCCTCCCTGGTGGTACAGTGGATAAGAATCTGCCTGCCAACGCTGGGAACACGGGTTCGAGCCCTGGTCCTGGAAGATCCCACATGCCGCAGAGCAACTAAGCCCATGCGCCACAACTACTGAGCCTAAGCTCTAAAGCCTGCGAGCCACAACTACTGAGCCCATGTGCCACAACTACTGAGCCCACGTGCCACAACTACTGAAGCCCAGGTGCCTAGAGCCCGTGCTCCACAACAAGATAAGCCACCATAATGAGAAGCCCGCACACCACAACGAAGAGTAGCCCCCACTGGCCGCAACTAGAGAAAGCCTGCATGCAGCAACAAAGACCCAACGTAGCCATGAATAAATGAATAAATAAATAAATTTTTAAAATAAAATAAAACCTGTAATGCTAACAGATCATTCTAGTTGAACCCTGAACTCTTCATATTTGATATTTAATATCTATTTCCCATATTGTCCCACGAATTAATGAACTAAATTGATTAATGTTTCAATTCATTACCACAGTTCTAATACTGAAAATCTGGAAAATAAGGTAAATTTCCACCAAAACTGGTTAATTACAATATGACAGAACACTCTTCATCCTTGAAAAGAAAATATGTGCTATCTGGCAATGGTGTGCACACATTTTTAAATTTTTAAAAAAGTTTTTAAAAATACCTTTTAATTGCCTGAGGCTCTGAGAATCACGGGTTAATCTCTCTCTCATGTACAGGAGACCACTAGACATTCAGCCTCTCTCAAGAATAACAGCGGCTTTCTATTTCATTAAGCTCGTTCATTTAATATCGAATAAACAACTGCTTCGAAAGTGTTCTGAGTGTATACCCTGCAAAGGCAATTTCTCTCTCTCCCTGTGTCAGGGTTCTCAAGATCAAAGGTACGTTAAAGAGAAGGAACGTGGGTGGGGCACTGAGTCGCCTGGCTTCATGAGGAGAACACATTTAGCTCGTTCTAAGCGTTTAAAAACTCTTGTCAGAAAGCTGATCTTGTATTTACTGAATCAGGCACGAGCATTGGGATGCAAGGCCTGCATTCTGTACCCATTTGGCAACTGACTCTGGCAAGGCACACTATTTTCATGCCTAGAGGACAGCTTGGGGTTTCCTTATAGCTTTCCCACTGTGTAGTTCCAACACTGTTTATTTTCATTAAGCTAAAGAAAATCTGTGCACCTTACCAGCTGCCAGTTTTCCATTCAATTTTAGAAAGAAATACACAGTAACAGATGCTGACATCGGTAAAATTATTTCGACAAATTAGATATACTGCAGTTGCATGTCTTGGGAAGCCGCTGTGGAACAGGCTTCCCCAATGAGTCGTCCTCCCCCTTCACGCGGCGTGTGCTGGCTCCTTTATCCCACAGCTGCTGAAGGAGACCCAGGCCACCGGTGCACTAGCTGCAGGGACTACAAAGGTTAAGTGCAGCAGCCATACTGCCTGCCCCTGGGAGCTAAGAGCCCTGCGAAGGGGTGAGGCCAACGAGTGACTCCAGCACAGCATGGGGACAAGGGAAGGAGCCAGGGCAGGAGGCTCAGGGACCCACAGGTACCAACCCGACTCTGACCCTCCTGGGTGTGTAAAACAAGAGCAACTCCTAGAGCCACACACGGACACTGACACCCACAGCCAGCCAGCTGCCCTCACAGCCCTCTGCTCCAAGGCCACAGCACAGTTTCATGGTGACGCCAGGCCCTAGCTTTCTCCCATATTCCAAGTCCTATCTCAGGCCTCTCTCCAACTTCTGGAACTTCCTGACCCTTTAGAATTCCAAGTTCACCATCAGCAGAACCTGTGATGGCCTCAGCTCTTCCCCTTCTTGCTCTAATGGAAATCTAACTCTCCCAAAGGATGAGGCTGTTTGTCTCCCTCAGCCTTCTTCCCGCTGGCTCTGGAGCGGGGGTGGGGGTGGGGGATCCTTCTCGGTCCTCACTGCCGTTTCAGACCCCAGATTTGGATCTCATGTTATCGGACAACACGGCCCAGGAACCCCCACTGCTGCCCACATACTGGTCACACCACTGCTCTTTCCTTCCTGTGTCTCAGAGTCCAGTTCCTAGCTCACCACTGTCTTCAACACCAGCCCTGTCTCAGGCCTCGGCAGCGACGCTCAGGCTCCAGCGCCCTGCCGCCCCGGCGCCCGGCCGCCAGCCTCTGTCCCAGCTCCACCACACCTCAGACCTGGGCATTCATTATCCACGACCGTACGCAATCTCTACAAGTCCCCCTTCTTACCGCACTACCTTGTACCTTTCCACTCCTCTTCCTCCAGGACCCCAGCTCCTCCAACTGTTGGACCCTCAAAGATCTCCTGGCCCCTTGTCACCATACACGCCACGGCCCTTCATTATGAGCAAAGCGCCTTCTCTACTGCTTTGCCAACACCTGGACTCCAGCAAGTCCAGCTCCGTCTAGGCTGCACCTGACACAGAAAGGTGAGTGTGGCTGGAGAAGAGCATGCAAGCACGCGGCCGGGTCTCCGGTCAGGACCCACAGCTCGAGTGGGAGCCAATGCTGCCCAGCACCTCCACTCGCCAGCTTCTGTCTCAACAGGACACCTTTAACAACTGTCAGTACAACCATCTCCCATTTCTGTGCGCCCGTTCCCTCTCAAACCCACCTCCGTGAGGCATGTACTGCCACCACTTCACCAAAACCACTCTGTCAAAACCCCAAAGACCCTCTACCGCCACGTGCAGCACGCGGCCTGAAGCCCGTCCCCAGCGACCCGGCAGCAGTGGATCCCCGGCTGCCCCCATCCTCTACACTCCTTGGGTTTCCGCCTCCCTGCGGGCCCCCGCCTATCACGTCGAGGGCCCCAGGCTCCAGGCCTCGGTCTCCCCGACACGATGACGCCTGGGTCTCACACTGGGTGCAGACTCTAGGTCCACCTCTGTGCCAACAAACCCCCACCTCTGCTTTGCGCCCAGACCCCTCGTCTCAACTCTTCCTAGTAACTTCATACGTGACACTTCCACCTGCACGTCTAGGTGGCATCTCCAGCACAGAACTTTTGCTGTGCTGCTCCTCAAAACCTGCTCTCCCCCAGGTGCTCTCAGGTGAAGGCAACTCCACCCCTCAAATGCTCAGGCCCCCTCGGCATCATTCCGCCTCTTCTCCCCTCTCATGCTCATCCGGCCCATCGGCTCCATCTTGAATTACATCCAGCATCTGACCCCTAACCACCACCACGGCCCTGACCTGAGCCATGTCATTTGTTACCAGGATTACCGTGGTCACCTCCTGGCTGAATGCCTGGTCCCACCCCTGCCACCCTAACAAGCGCACTCTCAACACGGCAGCAAGAATAACCCTTTTAAAACATACACCAGATCACGTTATTCCTCTGCTCAAATTGCTCTAATCACAGCCCATGTCGCTCAGAACAAAAGCCAAAGCTCTCAGGATGGTTCCCAGGTCTTACCTGACCCAGGTTCCGCACTTCTTTCCACCTTTATCACTCTTTTAATGTTACATGGTCTCTTTTTAGTTACTTGAACACAAAAGGCATAGTCTCACCAGAAGTAAGAGCCCCTGTACTTGCCGACCCCTCTGCCCAGAATATTCTCCCCCGAAAGAGTCACATCACTAGCTCCTGGACCTTCAACTCTTCCCTTCTCAATGAAGCCGGCCCTCACCACCCCATGGAAAGCTGAAGCCCACCCCGATGCCCCCCACCCTGCACGTGTGTGTCACTGTATGCTTGTCCTCTAACACGCCACACAGCGTTCTTATTTTATTACGTTTACTGCTCACTGTCTCTGCTAGAAAGCCAGGTCACAACTGCAGAAAGCACTGTCTGTTTTGTTCACCAATATATCTCCAATGCCAGGGAGAGCAGGATCTCAATCAACACTGTGTTGAACAGATGCATGAAGATATGCTCCATATCAACTGCTCAAAACTAGTTTCCCAGCTTCAGGAACATGCATCTGTAATCGTAACAGAAGAGGTTATTCACTTAGAATTAATAACTAAAAGATGGGTTTGTAGTACCTCTGGAACTCAAAGGAAGCACACCGAGTGGAACCTGAAGGGAACATTCACTTTGCAAACATCCCCACCTGGGAATTTATGAAGAACACCAATCAGGCACTTCCACAATTACCTCTGATGCCCTTTACATTTACTGTGTCTTCTCAGTACCCGCCACTGAATGATACAACGAGAGACGCGCGTGTTGCAGCAGACGAGCGTGGCCTGGCCAGGCAGCACGCATCTGAGTGGTGGGGGAAGAGCCAGGGAATCCACGTGGTCCTTACAGACCTGCACGTGAGAATGATCTGCCAGAGGAACCTGGAACTTTACAACAGCAACGGAGACACGTACCTTGAACGGGCGTCACCACTGCCCCCTTGAAGTGGGGATTTATGTGTATGTTCTTGGGCTGCTGTGGAGTCACAGGAGGAGGGGTCATCATCGCCCTCGGGGCCTCAATCTGGGGCGGCAGGTGCATCCCTTGAGGAGGGGAGGGATGGTGCGGATGCTGCAGGGGAAGCAGAGGCTGGAGCTGCTGCTGCTGGAACAGACTTCTGATCGGCTGCTGCTGAGGCGGCGGCGGTGGCGGTGGAGGGGGAGGCTGAGGCTGTGGAGGAGGAATTAACCTCGGAGAGTGCGCCTGAAGAGTACCGGAAAAGAGACACATTCACAGAGATCAACGCTCCGAAGAAAAAAAGCCAGTGCCTTACAGATTCCACATCGACTGAACTGTAAAGTTACGACTTAGAAATAAGTTTACAGGAGCAGCTTGTGTAAAACAGCAGGATAAATAAGCTGCTCGCCTGCTCACAGTTAAGGGCCACTGTCGGACAACACAAGTCGACCTCAGGGCCAGGAGGGAAAACAGCAGCCCCAGAATAACATGCATGGATTCCAAAAGGAAAAGAAGTGCAGTTCCACCATCAAAACTGCCCACCACGAGCCAAGCGCTGCGCTGGGGACGGAACACAACCTGCCCTGGGCTGTCCCTGCACAGCCAGCCCTGATCCTCTTTGAGAAAGCCTAGGGAGCCAGGCGAGAACGTGCACAAACAACCCTGCTAGAAACCAGGCTGCAGAAAAGGACAAAGGGCTCCCTGAAGGGAGTGGGGGGAAGCTCCTGAGAAGACGGCATCCGAACCAGGAAGGAGGGGAAGGAGACGTGCCATGCCAGGAGGGGAACAGAATCACCAGAGAGCAGCAGAGGCAGAAACATGCCTGCTGGGTACACAAGGGGGAGACCAGTGTGGCTACAGCCGCATCTGAAGACCGGAGGACGCGAAGGTGGGAAAATACACCCTCTCAAGGTGGTCAAGGATCTCGGGCTGTTTCATGGAAGACTCGCTGGAGAGCAGGAAACCACCACCCACAGGAACAGCTGCAGAGCATCGGGCTCTTGTGTTTTAAGCACCTACTCAAAGGTCAGTATGTGGAGTAACTGACTCACTCCCAACCACCCTATGCAGTGGGCCCCTGTTAGGACTCTCCTTTTACAAGATCAAGTGGCTGGTAAGCAGAAGAGCAGAGAATCTGATTCCATTAAGTCCTGCCTGTAGCCACTAACCAAACTGGCCACACACAGCAGTAGAGGCAGCAGGCTACTACCGACCAAAGTGTCTCCTATAATGAGCTGTTTTCCCCGGGATGACGCCAAATTACGGAGGCTTCTCAGTTGTCACAGCATGCATGACGACGATGACTAACAGTGTGTGAGATGGACGGGGGGAAAGAGGATGGAAGAAGACAGACCACTTAACAGGCTACGGCGGGAGCTGAATGGAAGAAACGGCCGCGGTCTGAACAAGAGCAGCAGGAAGAAGACATTTTAACGGAACAATGAGAATTTTGAAACCAAAGTGTACATGACCCTGTCTAACCCACCCTTCCTCAGGGAGGACTTCTCTAAAGATTCTGGAAACGGCTTAAATCCGTGGATACGTACATATGTTCCCAGTAACCAGTCTGTTCCCTCCTCTAACTCATGACATCTGTAATGTGCACATTTGTACGTGGTGCGGGAGTCTTTTCTATCTCATTCACCACTGAAACCACACGGAGAGCACGCTGACAGAGGGACAGCTAAGCTAAATCTGAACAGAACTGGGAATGAGCACAGTGCAGGGCCATTCACTCAAGAGCGTGAAGGATTTTTAAGGAAATCGCGTGTTTTAAACAAGGGGAATTTAGGGCCTGGGCGACACCCATGCAGAGAGGCCCAGGGCAGCTAGGAAATGAAGAAACTGAGCTGGCAAGAGGCTAGGGCTACAGACCCAGACTCGTGTGGAGACAGCAGATGGCAGGAAGGTCAATGCTGCTGACTGAGAGCTCTGACTAAAAAGAGGCCTGAGAACAACGCAGCCAGAGGAACAGGAGAGACAGAAGGGGCCCTGCTGGAAGAGAAGAGAGTACACCCCAAGCTCAGACACTCAAAATAAGAAAGGCTCAAGAAAGCGGAGCTCGTGGGTGATGCCCAAGGTCCCAGAGTGCAGTCCAACAGGACGGACTGCAAACGTAAGGTGGCGATTCTGGGAGCACATCCGGGAGAGGGAAAGGCACGAAGTCCAGGCAGCAAGGGATGGACCGAGAAAATGGACACAAGCAAAGACGGTGAGCAAAGGTTATTCTTTCCAGAACTCTGAGGGTGAAGAGTCAAAGAGACAGCTCTGGGGTGGGGAGTGGCCAGGATCAACGGTGGACACAAGTGTGAGCGAGGTTAAGGTCATTTCAGACAGTTGTGACCGTTTCAGTAAACTGCAGCTTTAAAACACCACTGACCAGCAAAGAGGAGCATAGAGCATATATGCCAAAGCTCCAGGAGTGGGTTCAGTCCCAGCTCACTGGGAGCCCTATAGCATCTACAGAATTCCAGAGATATGGCATCACTGTCGGGAGGGACTCAGGTCAACTGACACTTGGGCAACGTTTTTAAAGCACTCACAGATCTCCCAGTTGAGCCTCTCTGAAGGAGGCACATATGGGCGCATACTTCCTCTATGTAGATAAGAAAACAGGGAGTTCAGTTACTTTTCCAGGATCATGGAGACACAATTATGCAAAAACTGGTCTCCTGTGTGGCTGGTTCCCCCCCAGGAGGCCAAAATAACAGAGCTGGCTGTTTACTACATGGCAAGTGGAGGTTGGGGGCAAGGAGATGGGATGGAGAAGAAAAAGAAAAAACTGAAGGGCCAGTCTTCTCGCTATCAGAGAAGCTTAAGAACAGTTCTATGAGCAGACAGCGGTTATTAATATCATCAACCTCTTTATGCTGTAATCAACCCACCTACCTCTCTTCCCTGTAGATCAAAATTAGAATTCTCATGCCAGAACAGCTGAGTCATCCTTAGAGGACAAATGTATGGATACCAAGGGGGAAAGGAGTGGGGTGGGGGAACTGGGAGACTGGGATTGACACATTTACATTACTGATACAATGTATAAAATAGACAACTGATGGAAACGCACTGTACAGCACAGGGAACTCTACCTAACGCACTGTGGTAACCTAAATGGGAGGGAAGTCCAAAAGGGAGGGGATATCTGTATGTGTACGGCTGAGTCATTCTGTTGTGCAGTGGAGGCTAACACAACACTGCAAAGCAACCATACTCCAATAAAAATTAATTAAAAGTAATAATAATAAAACAAAACAAAACAACAGTAAGTCATCTTTTCTACTTTGTTATTTCACAACTGAATGCCTCCTTAAACATAACATTTGTACATGGAGGCAAAGTGTGGTTTTCCCCTAAACTCAGATAATGATGTAGGAGGGTAGACAGTGTGGACACATATTTATATTAAATGAATCTGTCCTTGAAGACTGACTTCTGAAGGAAAAAGCTATAAAATCCTGAAGCTAACTGAAGGAACAACAACAACAACAAAATCACTACAATTCCTGTCTTTATTCCTGAGATGTCTCATCTTTGAAACAGAGGAAATTCAAATGAAGCTGAAATTACAAGTACTTGATTTCTTCCTAAATTATGAAAACTTTTTATGGCTATGACAATCTCAATTTTTATGGATAGGATATGATAGTTACTTGTTTGAGAAACTGCTACTTTTAAGGAAAACCTACGGTAAGCAGTGTATAAGAAAAAATATTTTATACAATTCGCCATTACTGCTAGATTCTAGATGTAAGACGTTCAGTATTTTCAGAATGGTGCTCGTAGGAGCAGCACGTCTCCACAAGCAGAAGGTAAAAGCAAGGCTCCCCTGTGGTTCGGCCACTGGAGGACACCAGGTCTCCTTATCGCCTCTCTCTTTATCAGTAGTGTGCAGAGAATTAGTTTGCACTTCCTGAATACTAGAGGACTGAATGTGTGTGACCATACATGAAATCATACTATAGATTACAAAGAAACTTGAGCCATTATGCCTTTTACTCAATTTTAATTTCAGACCAAGATAAATGCAAAATATGATACCCACACAAAAGCGTATTTTCATCTGAAGTTGCAAGCTCCCACAATGAAACTACACAACTTACCACCACAGGTGGCTGTGTGGGCAGCAGGGCGGGCCTGTGATCCTTGGCTCTTCCCCTCTCACTGTTCTCTCTCCTCTGGTCTCCCACTCCACGACACATGGACGAACCTCCTCTCCTTCCTCCCCGCCTTGAGCCGTAGCGGCCCTGTTTATGCTGTCGCTCCCTTTCTTCGAATTCAAGCAACGCAGCTTTGGCTTCTGCTGAAAGCTCTATTTGAAAAGATGCATATGTATTAGATACCTTCGAATAGCCTAAATCAGATTTATAGGGAAAAACGGGAAAGAAATACATGACAATGAAACTTAGGAACAGCAAGTGCTTCACCCACTACAAACAACTCAACTACCAGCATCAAGTAGGATACAATCACAGAGACACTCGGGCCCCATGAGTGAGAGCAGTTAAATGGAAGACCTGCCTTTCCCTTGTAATAAAAGACAAGGATCTCCTGTATAAGTTTCAAAGTGTTTTCATTTGTGCTGAGGGAAGCTGAAAAGAAGGAGCTGAAGTTCAACCCAACCACCGCCCTTAATCTGCTAGGCATCTTGCAGTGATGGCGGATGACACTGGTCAAGACCTGGCTCCCCCAGTCTTAAACCAGGACACTCTTCTAAGCGGAACCAGGACAAGTATTAGTTAATACACAGTGACACAGAGACTCAAAAATGACAAGTTCCTGACTGTTCTGCTTTAAAAGCAAAACTAATAAAATCACTCTCGAGTCAAATACTTAAGTTAATCTCATAAAAAATGGAAACTTATTTAATACTGTCACTTCAGATTTTCAGATTTTTTTTTTTTTTTAAATAACAACTTTACTCTGTGAAGAAAGGCTTATATCCATGCAGTCTGATAGGGAAACTACAGCAAATGAGAGCAAAGCCAGAAAAGAAAAAAAACCATTAATGCAGATATTTCTGGGACACCCAGTAGGGGCTGCTCACCTCTCTGACCAATGCTTTAGGGATACAAGAAACATATAGGCTCTGGCCCTAAGAAACTTCAGTTGGCACATTATTCTGAATTCCTAGAAGAAATAACTTATTCAAATATGGTTCCTTTATTTTAAAATATTACCTAAGTTATGATAATATATCTTCCATTAATAAATGAATACCTTCTAAAGATTTCACTGAATTCTAAGAAGCATTGTTATGCCCTCTTCCACAGTGAAGGGTAAATTTTAAATATTACCAGTTTATCTCCTACCTTGGATTCCATAATCATCTCCAAACTCTTCCAAAATCTCTAAGCCACATTTCATTTTCTTGAAATTGTTTCTATGGTATTCCCCTCCCCTTCAAACGAATCTTTGACTCCATACAAAAGAAAATTTAATCTCTTCTTAACAAGCACACACTGTTATTCTCATCTTGACTACATGATTGGTTCACATACACATTTTATGCAGTGAATCAGCAATTATTTTGCTAGTGGTTCTAAGTGTCAAGATTAATTTCACTATCCCCAGTAATAAAATGGTTTCAAACGACATCTTTAATCAGCAAGTAAAAATGCTTTGCTCCAATTGAGACAAGCTGTCACAAAAGGTCACCAAAATATGACAGGATGGAAATTACATTTGTAACTTCAACTGAAATGTTAATTTCCCTTTAAGTGTTTTCTGAACTATGTCCGTATTACACAGTAAAGAGATATAGCTCAATGTAACAAGGTTTTACAGTGTTGTCCCTTTCTAAAATGTGCTTAAGAAAAACATATTTACATATAAATAATTTCATAATAGTTGAACTAATACATAATGAATATCTATAAAACACAGTTTACTTGGCAAAATAAAAACAAATGACAGTCTGAGTTTTTTTTTTTTTTAAACAGATAACTGAATCAAGAAACTTGTGAAAATCTTGCAAATACAAGGACCATCATGTAAACTGAAGGCAGTATCCTATTGCTGGTACTAGGTGACCTTAACCTGTTTACTACTAGATGAAAATATTTTTCCCAAAGATCCTTTGCCTTAAGCAAAATTAACCGAGGACATTATTTCAAGAGAACTTTATGTGGGCATAATAACAACGGTCTTCAGGCTGAAGCAGTAAAACATAATTTAACATATTACACGTGCCACTGAAACTGAGGATACGGCAGAACCTAGACGCCTCCTCATAGAGAGAGAATTGTCAAAGCCTAACTAAAATAAACATAGTCTCTCATTTATTGCTTGTACTGCCTCCAAAGAGAGTCTGAGGTCCACCTCCTAGGGCAAGAGAACTGGCAGCTCTGAACTGCTGTGCTGACACTTCAGGGTAACTGGTCGAGATAGCTTTTGACATTTCCATTCAAAATAAATCTTTCCCTTAACACATGCATGTGCTAGAAACCCTTCTCAACTGCATTCTGTGAGAGAATTAAGCCCTTTTACCCAACGGGGTCCTTTTTATGTAATGAATGAATGTATTTCCTAAGTACGTAGTTTTGTACCATCCTTGGGGAAACTGAGAAACAGTCACATTTTCTCTAAGGTATTTAATTCCCAGAATCCTGGTTGAGGATAAAAGCTCACTACTTAAGATCATATAACTCAGGTAAAAGCCCAGAATTCCATATCTAATCCAATCTGTAATTCAAAATACAGATCAACAACTGTGAATTAGGTTGTACAATGGTCAAGACTGTCATAAATATGATTTAGTGTTCTTCATATTTATCATATATTTGAATGTAAAGAAGACTAAAAGTGACCAAATACCCTTCAAGATTTTGAAAAGAACTCACGAGTCCACATGCAGATGGAAGGGTCAGAAATGGGGGGTGCCAGACCATCATTTCATTCTTTTTAGAGTGAAGTGTTCTTAACATTAATCAATGATATCACAAAATAATTGTTTTTATTTGTATTCAAAATGTTAAAAGACATCATTTGTCAAGAAACACATATCATATGAGACGACATATATACTCTGGTAGCAAGGTATTTTAATTCCATTACAAAGAGTAGGTGAGCAGCTTTATACAATCAAATAAGTGCAAGCATCTGTATACAGAACCTGAAACTGATATTTCTATCACCAGGAGTATACAAAGTGATGAGTACAAATTTGTGTGAATTTCTAGCACACCAAATACTGCCGTAGCTTCTCTTTCTCACTGAATATTCTTCTTCTACATAAAATTAACCTTTTGTGGGGGGGAGGGGTCTTAAGGAAATAAGGGAGCTCACTGCTTTAGGAAACCAATCTCTAAAATGAACAGAAAAATCGTTTTTGTACTGGGAATAATCCTAACTTTTCAGTTACTAGAAAACTCATGTTTTCAAACACTAAGCTTTCTTAAGTTAGGGCTTACAAATAGGGAACAGAGAAAGATACTTTTAAGTATCATTTCTACTTGCCCTATTATCTAGCCAAAGATTCACATTCTGCACAAATACATTTAAAGCCTTTTTTCTTAACGTTTAAAAAAATGGTAAATGGTCAAACTGTTTACGCTTCAGACACTCTGCCTCTAAGAACCCCAGGCCCTCTCTGCCCGTATGTAAAGGGCCAACCTGCCCATCACTACCCCGCTTCCACCCTCCTGTCTCAGGATGACACGACTATAGCAACTGAGAAATGCCCTAAAAAGAAAAAAAGGGGGGGGGGGGGGAAAAAAAAAGTTT